CCCCCTCCTCCCCGTGACGCCCCTTTTGCTTCCAATTAGCCACCGGACCGCCGTCGCCCATTTATTTCATTATTCCTCCAATGTCGGGTGTGCCGCGCGCCGATTGCCCCGGATGGCGGCGCCGTTTTGTTTTCGCCTCCTCTATCGGCTGGAATTAAACGGACGGCAAATCGGATGCCGCGGCGTTGTCTGCCCACCCCATGCCCATGTCTGACTCGTCTCTGTCTACTCTGTCGCAGACGGCAAGGCGCTGGCCGCCTCCCGGGACTGCAAGTACATCGAGACCTCGTCCGGCATCCAGCACAACGTGGACGAGCTGCTGGTGGGCGTGCTGAAGCAGATCCGGCTGCGGGCGACGCGCGACCGGAAGCGCCAGCGCCGCGGCTCGGCGTCCAGCCGGCTGCACGGCTCGCGCACCTCCCTCTCGCTCAACATCGCGCGCGAGATCCTGCACAAGATCTGCCTCAACGACTCCAAGTCCAAGTCGTGCGAGAACCTGCACGTGCTTTGAGATTCACCGCCCGGCGGAGGCGGCGGCCTCGTCGGCGGGGGCCTCGGCGACCTCCAGGACGTCCCCGAGGACGCCTCCGTCGAGGTGTTCGTCTGACTACGGCCCCGGGCCGGGGGGCTGCTGCACGGCCTGCTCGGGGGTGCGGAGGCCACCGAGGCCACCTGGGTGTGAACCACCACCGCCCCCCGGCCGCCCCCGGCCCGGCGCCGCCCCGCCTCCACGGCCCCTCAGGTGCCCTGGAGTCCCTGGAGTCCCTGGAGCCCGACAGCAGGACGCACGCGCCAAGGCTCACACGTGGACGAGGATGAGAACAGTGTTTCTGCCACCTGAGGAGCACGTGTGATTCGATTATCTCGACATTCATCCAAACGGAATAGTTGTACAAAGTCTTATCATAACTATTTTTTCTTGAAAAAATTAAGGAAGAGGGGGATATTATTATCCTTCGCTCTCCACTGACTTTAGGACGATAAAAAATATAAATCTCTGTGTGATAATGGTGGCTGTCGCTGTCAATCTTTGAATGCTTTGTAAATAGTTTATTTAATAGGCCTGTTTCTTGCTGTGGACTGTACTGCCAGAACCGGTATGACGACATGACTTTTTCTGACTGATGGACTTGTGTGTAACTTATGTGTAAATATTATGTTCCTTGTTAGTAAGAGTGTTTCTGTACATTTTAATTTTGGGGTTGTGGCAGCTGGTTAAATGTCTCTAAATTCAAAGGAAATGTGCCTTGTCTTGTCGCTTTAATAGTCATTCATGCGGGGAGCTTGTTTTCTCGATGCGTATTTTGTGGCTGCGTCAGATGTACACTGCAATCCCGTGAGTGAGGTTTCGAGGTCGATATGAGTGGGACAATTCTGCCTCGTCATTTGAGTCATATGCGCCTAATTCTCAATCCAAGGGAGTGAGACTTCCCTGTCCTCGCCCAATTGTAGTGAGGAACCTCAATCTCATTGGGTGAGGACTGTAAATTCACTCGTAAAACAAGTGTGCATAATTTGCACGCACACCGTATGCAAGTTGTTATTTTTCACATTAAATGGTGTGTTACTCGAGTTGCACACTTGCGTGGTGTGCAAATTTTAGACGTTTTAAACGTTTAAATTCTGCACACTTGGACACACACACGCACACAGTTCTATGCTATCAATAGGAACCATATTATACGGTGTGCAGCTGCTATACTTTTTGGAAGTGTCGAAAGATTAAACACCAATTGACGTATGACATAGTTAGACACAATAATGTGTCTAGAAAATGCACACTTGAACATTAAATTGAAGTGCAAAATTAAACGCCTGTTTTACCAGTGTTCTGACTCCAAATAGAGTGAGAAATATCATCTTCCTCTGAGGAAAGCGGAGTGTTTCTGATCTAGCCTTCTGGAGAGTGCGAGATCTTGCTCTAGAATTTACAGTGTACTTATTGGAATACACAGAGAAGGATCAGGGTCAGGTTGAAATGATGTATAATGTATATATTTCCAAGTGTGCAAATATATCTGCCACATTTGTTGTAAGTTGTATTATGTAATGTAAGTTAAAAATGAATAAGTTCATGTATCTCGTCAAACGAAGTGGTGATACCGTAATCTTAGTAGCTTCTCTGAAGGCTAGCGCTCTCACTATTTTTGTGACTTTGTAGTAATTCACTGAGTTTCTTTGCTACTCCGTTGTCTTCCTCTTTTCGCTGAATGCAGACTAGGGAAAGGGGTTTGCGCTTACGGAGCTCGTAAGTAGAGAAAAGAAACTCTCTGCCACTATACTTTCCTATCCGACTGATTTTTATTTTCTATAAACA